TGTATATTGCCGATTGGCGTTTAAATAAATAAATAAATAAATAAATAATGCAAGTCTTTAGTTTAACTATTAAATAAAACAAAATTTCATTTTCAATTTTAATATTCATTTGTTATTTTTTGCGGAAAATTAGGTACGACAGTTTTTAAGGCAAATGTTATATTAGGTCCAGTAAAAAGTTCGTTCGGTTTTTATCTAAGAGATGGCGTTATTGTCCATAGTACTAGTGTTACGTGTCGCATCATGTCATACTATACGGCGCCGAAAACGTGTTTATTCGCGCTAAAAGTTTGTTTTTGACAGTTTTTCCGATTGATTGACTCAGTACGTTGTGAGCGCTCATCAAAGATGGCGAAAAAGCAGCCAAAGCGGCTGAAAAAATTTATTTAGTTTATGGGCCCGATATTGTAAACGAACGTGTAGAACAAAAATGCACCACAAGTCGGGAGGCCTGTCGTCGAAAATTGCGATAAAATCATGGTGGAATAGTGGAAAGAAGAAAGTGATGAACTAAAAATAAGCCAGAAAACCATTTGCATAACCTTGGATTAAAAAAGAACCTCGATGTTTGGGAGGCACACGAACTAACGCAAAAACCGCGTTTGGTGGTATTGGCAAGGAATTATCTACTACGAGTTGCTCCCTTATGGCCAAACGCTCAATTCAGCCCTCTACTGCCAACAACGGGACCGCTTGAAGAGGCCATCTTTGATCAACAGAGGCCGAATTGTGTTCCATCAGGACAACGCCAGCCATACACGTCTTTGCTGACGCGCCAGAAGCTCCGAGAGCTCGGATGGGAGGTCCTAATATACCCACCTTATAGTCCGGACCTGGCACCAAGTGATTACCATCTTTTCCTGTGCATGGCGAATGTGCTTAATGGTGAGAAGTTGGCCTCAAGACAGGCCTGTGAAAATTGGCTTCCCGAGTTTTTTGCCAATAGGGACGCAGCCTTCTACGAGAGGGGTATAATGAAGTTGATATCTAGTTGGCAACAAAATTACGAACAAAACGACGCATATTTGACTTAAATCGGACAAATGTACACAAAGTTATCATCTTTTGAAATCCGAACGAACTTGACCTAATATTATATAAACTCAACCGAAGAGGCTAAATTAAATACATTGAGTTGATGCAAAAAAGGTCAAACAAACGATTGAAGTTCATTATATTATTGATAATTCAATTTTATTACTTTTAAGAAAACGTGTCCACTTAATTTCATTAAAATATCATATCAATTCATCAATTTTACCGACCTAAACGGTTAAAAGTCGTAAATCAATATATGTACATGATATTATGAGAGAAAATAATGGATTGCATTCATTTGGACATTGCTCAGGTATACTTGAGAACATATTTTCAAGCAATTTTATACCATATAAAACTCACACACTTAACGACATTATCGTTATATGGTTTGTTAGAAAAACGAAAATAATTAAAGTTAGTTTTGTACTATTTAATACAAAACAAATGTGTAGAAACGAATTAGCAACATGTTAGTGGATATAAAAGTTAAAAATATACACTCGCCAGAAAAATTATCCGTACACCTCGACATGAAAACAATAAACTGAGAAATTTGTGATCAAATAACTTATTATGTATAAAAATAGTATACAAAAGTTTTATTTAATATTTTTACTGCACTTTCTATACGTTTTTTACTTTTAGACAAACACTTTAAAAAAATTCCCAGAACAAAAACTAAACACAGTTACTTAAATTCAACGGAAAAAGTATCCGTACATATCAAAACGGGATATTTCCCTTGTAATATGGTGACAAATACATTCCCTTAAGCGCTTATATTGTATTGTATAATTAATCTCGAACTTGACGGTTGACCTTAAAGTTATTATAATTTTTCATTGTGCATAAATTCGCGATGACCCTTAAAATTAAAGAAATTAGTGCTGGCGAAAGAAAAATTATTCTTACACTCAGAAAAGAAGGCAAATCATTCCGAGAAATGGGTAAAATGATAGGAAGGACACATTCTTCTGTGCAGTATGTGGTGGAAGCATTCAAAAAAACTAAGTCGATTGTGCCAAAGCCACGCTCTGGTCGACCAAGTATATTAACCGTTCGAGAAAAACGAACAATATTACAGTCAGTAAAAGCAAATCCTCGACTTACTGCCTTGAAAATATGTGAAAATATTAAAAATTTGTTCGACAAGGATCTCCATGAAGATACTGTACGAAAATTTTTGAAGATGGGTATCAAGCACGTGTAGCGCGTAGGAAGCCCTTTATATCCGAAGTAAATAGACAGAAACGTATGGATTTTGCAAACAAATATATCAGCAAGCGTCGGGAGTTTTGGGAACGTGTCTTATTCACCGACGAAAGCAAGTTTTGTATTTTTGGCATTAAAGGAAAAAAGTTGGTGTGGCGTAAGAGTGGTACTGCACTTGATAAAAAAAATCTTTTACCCACCGTCAAACATGGCGGAGGAGGTGTGATGGTATGGGGGTGTATGGCGGCAGAAGGAGTAGGCAAACTCGTTTTTATAGATACAATAATGGATCAATTCGGCTATTTAAGTATTTTAAAAAATAATTTGAAGGAAAGTGCCCGGCAGTTGGGGCTTGGTGATGATTTTTGGTTCCAACAGGATAAGGCTTTGGTTGCTTTATAACATAAAAAATCAATTGCGCTCGACACCTCAATCTCCAGACCTCAACCCCATCGAGCATTTGTGGGATTTACTGGAGCGCAGAATCCGCCAACACACCATAACCTCCAGAGAAATGTTCAAAAATGTGATCATAAATGAATGGGCGAAAATTACAAATCATGACACATCCAAACTAGTTCATTCAATGCCACATCGACTTGCCGAGGTCCTAAAACGTAAGGGCTATCCTACTAGTTATTAGGATATTAAATTTTTCCAAAATAATTTAATTATATTTAATTATAATCAAAATGTACGAATACTTTTTCTGTTTCATTATGTGAGCTTTTTTTGTTTTTGTTCTGTGAAATTTTTTTTTAAAGTGTATGTCTAAACAAAAAACTCATGGAAAGTGTAGTAAAAATACTGAATAAAACTTTTGGATACTATTTTTTTATATAATAAGTTATTTCATCACAAATTTCTCAGTTTATTGTTTCGGTGTCGAGGTGTACGGATAATTTTTCTGGCGAGTGTATGTAAGAGTAAAATTCATTATAGATCAGAACACGCAATTTAAATAGTTGAATTTATGAACTTTAAATGCAAACATTTTAAAAACCAAAAGTCAGCGGCAACTAAATGTATATATTTTCTTAATCTGGAAATCCTTTTCTATTCGTATAAGTTAACAATAGTTAACTTAGCTAGTCTTTTGAGCTGCCAAAACTGCAATGTATGCAGTTTGACCGGCAGCAAATTGTCTTTATTTAAAATAACATAATTCCGTGGTAGTCGACAACACCGTCGCTACCGCATAAATGGAATTATAACTAAAATTAACTGGGTTGTCGAAAACACCGTTGCTAACGGAAGTATAACTAAAAGAAACTGGGTAGTAGACAACACCGTCGCTATATAACAAACAAGTAAGGAAGGGCTTAGTTCGCATGTAACCGAACATTTTATACCCTCGCAAAGTCAAATGGTATACTCGTTTGAGATTTCTTTGTGGATTGACTGATATTTTCGGTAGAAGGTCAACTATAGGCACTGGGGTCCACATATTTAGTACTTAGGGGCTTGAACAGTTTTGGTTCGATTTAGACAATTTTTGGTCACAAGGTGGCATACTTTAAACGTATTAATCACGCAAAGTTTTTTAGAGGTGCTAAAAACATTTGCTCCTAGTGAATTTGGTTATTATAGCTTTAGCGGTTTAGGAGATATGCACATTAAACTTATTAGGGGCGGGACCAGGCCCACTTTAAAAAAAAAAAAATTTTAAATGCAGATGCCCCTCCCTAATGTGATCCTTTGCACCAAATAACAGTCTTGTATCTTATTGCGGACTTAGTTATGGCAATTTATCCGATTACGCCCATCTGCAATACCAAGCGTCTCACGGTACCATGAAACATGTCTACCAAGTTTCATAAAGATATCTCAATTTTTACTCAAGTTGCAGCTTGCACGGACGGACGGACGTACAGACAGTCCCCGGATTTTAACTCGTCTCTTCATCCTGGTCATTTATATATATATAACCCTATATCTAACTCGATTAGTTTTAGGTGATACAAACAACGGTTAGGTGAACAAAACTATTATACTCTGTAGCAACGACCCTCGCGCAACTTCGTTCTGGATACTGTAGCAGGTTAAACTCCTACCTATCCAGAATAGACCCTGACATACTAAACACATGTCCTGCATGCAATGAGTCTCCGCATGACACTAACCACCTCTTTGCATGCCCAACAAACCCCACTCATCTAACACCCCTTTCCCTATGGTGCGACCCCGTCGAAACAGCTCGTTTCCTGGGCCTTCCGTTAGATGACCTCGACGACAACGAATCTAGAATTTATCACCCAAACGGGGATTAGATAATCGTTATAACAACAACAACAACAACTCTGTAGCAACAAGTTGCGAGAGTATATAAATAACTTAATCCGTGTTTAGTCGCAACCACTCTCCGTGCACTAGTGAATAAATAATAACTTACATACCCAATTTAACCCCAAATTCTAAACCCCAGTCTTTATTAGTTTTCGTTTATTGGCGTTTTGTGGGCACTGGTGCGATTACGCTCATCTCCAATACCAACCGTCTTACGACGCCAAGAAAAATGTGTACTAAGTTTCATCAAGATATCTAAATTTTTAATCAAGTTTGAACTTACACAGACAGACGGACAGACAGTAACCCGGATTTCAACACGTCTTAATTTGAGGTGATCCAAACAACCGTTATGTGAACAAAACAATTATACTCTGTGGCAACATGTTGCGAGAGTTTTGAACATATACGTATAAATAACCAACAATAAATTAATACTTTGTATTTGATGTTTTGTTTACCTTAAACATATATCTCTTATCGTTTTCATCATTCAGCTGTTGTTCGCTAATAGAAATCTCTGCATCCAAATTTTTTAATAAAGATTGTAAATCTCTTATCGTAAATGCATTCGTCTCTAACACAGGAGATGGTGGTGAACTTATTTTATATTCAGTCGTTCCAGTGGTTTCCATATCAAGTTGTAGTGTATTTATACATCCAGGATCGCTAGTTTTTAAAAGCTTTTGTAACGTTCCGGAAACAATAGCTTGATTTGTTCGCAACATTTTTAACTTATGTGTAATAGCAATTCGTCGGTCAGGTACCACAGCCATCAAATTGAATCGTATATCTTGTTCTCCTGTCGCAATTCCTAATCGATCAGCCATAATACAACGAAATTTATCTGTCCAGTCTTCGTGATCTTTCCAAGGTCCATGATCAATAGGATAAGGTTTTAATCCATCTAATTCAAATAGGTGACCACTAATTGGAACATAACTAACGAAGTGAAATGCTTCTCCTGTAAAACGTCCGGTAGATACTCCAGAAACAGAACTTCTGTCCAACCTGCGTTTTGCTTGAGGCATTGCATGCGAATTATGAGCACAAGCTAATTCAGGTGTATTGCCAATAGCCCATCCTTTGTTTTCCGGGCACATTCCTTTCGTATGAGCTTTCAAACGACTTAATGTTGTTCCAAGATTTAAGTCGGCGTCATTACTATTTAAAAGGACAGATAATAAGGCATGCGTCGCACAACTGTTTGGAACCACTTGTTGTGCAAAAAAAATACTTGAGACTTCTTCTTCATCCTTTACAAAAATTTCAGCAGTGGCTTCAACTATTTTTCTTCTAGCTCGTCTTTCTTCTATCCATCGAAATAAAAAAATAAATCCGTACACCGGGCCATCAATTGGTTTATGTAGATCATAAACCTCTTCTACTTGTACATTTTTTACTCCGAAATCTTCCAAAAGCAGGGTAAATAATCCTGGGTCAGACTCCAATTCTAGCCAACCATCAGTTAATCGATTTATATCCACCGGCATTGTGGAAAATCAGAAGTCGGCAACAATCAGCGAATAAACAAATCTCAATAAGCATACATTTATGTATATTTAAAAAAATGGCGCAACATTATTATATTTATTATTATCCAACTTCTGTTAAAACATTATTGTTAATCAAATACTTTTTTAAAAAGATATCTTCATAATATGAATCACTTAACAAAGTCCACACGATATATTCTGATACGTATACCAGAGCTCCCTGACGTATACTATCATTGTATAATTCTACAAGTAGCCAATCCTAAGATTTTCACTAATCCACACGCAAAAATATCCCACTTGGTACGGGTTGCCTCGAAAATTCTACTACTAAAATCACACTTGGTACGGGTTGCCAACCAATATTCTGCTACTAAAACGTTCCAATGGCAGAAATCTGATATAGTGTGTTGCCGTGTTTTGTTTTAAAATTAATAACTTTAAGAATGTTTTTATTTCATATTCAAATATTTTTCGGTTGTTTTAATTCCTAAAGATTAAATTTACAAAGTGTTATTTAAATTATTATTTATTGTATTGAAATATTATTAAATGTTTCCGATTTTATCTTTTTTACTTACATGTTTATGTTTTTGTGAGTGAAAATTCTTTGTCAGTTGAATATTTAAATTCTTAGTTTACCGGTTTAGTCCTAGGGAAACGAACACCCAAAAAAGATCGGTAACGCGCCTATATTGCAACCTCAGAGGTGGTGAGGAAAAGCAATGGGAAAACTTTCGTTTAGCATCCCACGATTTCAGGGTTAAGAGGGATATGGTTGGATAGACGAGATTCTCCAGATCACGAATATATTATATTATTGCAGCCGAAAAACCGATCAGGTGATCACGGCTGTTTCATACACATAGGAAAACAGCTGATTCTTTGGCTACTTGTAGGCTTATACAATGTATACTATATTAACCGATTACGATCATTGTATAAATCTCCAAGTAACCAATCCTAAGATTTTCACTAATACACACGCAAAAATGGCCCCTTGGTACGCGTTGCCTACTTATATTCTACTAGTAAAGTCACACTTGGCACGGGTTGCTAACTAATACTCTACAACTAAAACGTCCAATTGACTCAAATCTGCTACAGTGTGTTGCCGTGTTATGTTATAAAATTTATAAATTGAGGTAAATAAATGTTTATTACATATTCAAATAGTTTTCGATTATTAAGATTCTTAAAGACTAAATTTACATTTAATAAGCATATTGATGTGGGGCGAATATTTTGTAAATATTATTTATTAATTAATACATTGCTTTGTTTATTATTATTGTTGTTCCTGAATTATACGTTATTGTTAAAATCAAGTTGAAAATTTCAACTAGTATTGTTAATGTTATTGTTATTAATACTCATGAACCTGATTACGAAAAGTAGATTGTTTTAGAACTGTATATATTATATGGGTCAAAATTGGCTTCCTGGGAAACCGAACACCTAAAATAATCGGTAACAGTATGCCTATATTGCAACCTCAGAGGTGGTGAAGAAAAGCAATAAATATTATAGATAACCTTTTGTTTCGAAAATATTCGTGAAAGTTTTCACTAATATGCTTTATTACAAATAAATGTTCACAAACTACATTCATTTTATTTAAATCTCTGTGTTCAAACAAGGCAAATTCTATCAGATGCTGTCAGCTGTTTCACACAGAAAGGAAACTGATTATTTGGTTACTTGTAGGCTTATACAATTATTACGACTGTTTACCATATAATCCAATGTGTCCATAGGCAATACTTATATGCTCGCTTATTTTGTAGCAGACAATATTCTAAAAATTCTATGAGAAAAATCAATTGCTTGGACATCGTTCAGACGGGGATACTTTTGTCGCCCATTATCATTATGTATTAAGCATATTTGCATTTATAAATGCATTTTACATACAAATGAAGGGTAATAGCATTTAAATTGTGAAAACTTTAGAATACCGTCCCAGGTTTTCGGGAATAAAATGGGTATGGGCAGATATAGGATATCCAGATAAAGAATTTATATAGATATTGACTCGGGAAACTTGTAGTTTTCGAGATATTTACGTTTAAAGTTGAAAACTTCAACTATTTAAAGTACGTATTTTTTTGATTTTAAATGATTTATACACCTATATTATTCACTTTTATATCCACTAATACTTAACTTATTCGTTTATACACATTTATTTTATATTATATAGTGCAAAAATAGCTTTAATTCAATATTTATATCATTGTTCAATTTTATTAATTCTGACAATAACAAAAAGGTTGCAAAATGTCAAATAACCAGTGTTACCTTATCGAGATCTATTGTAATTATATTATAATATTATTTTTTCTTGCAGAAATTATTTTTGCTCTTTCAAAAAAAAAATAACCCTGTTCGGTCCAATACCGGGGTGTACCAAAGTATTTTTGCGCAGAACTTCTTTTTGCGATGGCGACCTTCGGTCGCGCATCAGAAAAAATAACCTTGGTCGGTCCAACACCGGGGTTTATCAAGTGAAGGAAAATAAAAGATTTATTAGTGTCCATCCACGAATATGATTCCTGTATTTGGGGTATAATCTCTCTTTATATTTTATTTTTCTTCGATTGCAAAATATGTAAGTATGGCAAAAATGGTTTTTGACATTTACAACCCTTTTGTTATTATAAAAGTTAATAGAATTGAAGAGTAATTTAAATATTGAAATAAAGCTATTTTTGCATCATATAATATAAAATAAATGTCTAAAATCGAATAAGTGAAGGGTTAGTGGATATAAAAGTGAAAAATATAAGTGTATAATTCATTTGAAATCAAAAAATTCGTACTTTAAATAGGTGAAATTGTCAACTTTAACGAAATCTTCTATTCTAAAGCAATTTTTGTTGTGGGTTATATATCAGTACCCACTCTCCTTTTGCAAAACCCTCAGTGTGCTGTTTCACTATAGAATGTATATTCTTCATCTCGTTTTCTAAGATGTTGTTCACATCCGTAGCATTCTTTCCTTCGTTGGCGTTAATTCAAAACTTCAAATCAATACCTCATTGTGTCATGTGCAGCAGACCTATAAACCATCTGGATCTATGGGTATCCCAATCTTTTTCATACTTGTCCACAGCTTTTATCAAATGTTTTCCCAAAGTACGATTGAATCGCTATACCATGCCATTGGACTGCGGATATGGTGCTGTTGTACGGGTTTTCTTCCCTTGGTCAAAAATAAAATTATATTGAAACACCTAATCTCGTTACCCAATTGTTGAGGAATACGTCCGCTTCTGCTTCTGCCTCTTGGTTAGGAATTGCGTATACCTCTAGCCCTTTTCTGAAATTGTCCATGACTACCAAACCGTACGTATTTTCTAATTTACTTTTGGAAAAAGGACTAGACACATCCATGGAAATTCGCTCAAACGGCACACCTAAATTGTACTGCTTTTTCTGGCCATGACTTCTAGACCTCGGCGCTTTAGCTGCAATGCACTCGGCATAATTGGTGGTCCCCTCCGTAATTGACTGACGAAAACCAACCCAAAATCATTGTTTTAATATCTCCAATGTTTTCGTGATTCCCATGTGTCCTCCACCTCGACCGTTGTTGAGAACTTCGGGAATTCTTACTTTCGAAACTATCAGCAAAGCTCGGGGGCTTTGCCCAACTTTGCTTACCTATACGTATATATATGCCGTACCCTTTTCGGCTGGCTCGCTTTAGTTTAACAATTCGTAGGATTTTACGTTTGCTTGATCTTCCTCAGCTTTGCGTTTACGTCCAACTGAATCATCACACGCCACCATTTTTCTTACGCGTTTCTGTAGGTTTTTTTAGTGCTTTCTGCATCTTTTCATCAACTTTTTCAACTAATTGGTTCATCCAAGTGTGTTCTTCTATTTCTACTTTAAATGTTTGATTGCTAAGCAGAGATGTAGTTTCCTGCGTCAAAGCATAGGAAACGGTTTCCGCAACGTTATTTTTGGACATGCTAACGCAGAGAAGCGTGTGGTGCTATATCGTATTCCATTAAGGAAGGTCTGAGTTTTCGTGTCTCGATGAAATCCGTGGACTTATGTATGTCCATAAGCTAAGTGAGTTAAGCTCTTAATCTCTGTGGAAAACTCCTATGGAGACTCATTGGGTTTTTGGCGGCGATTTTGCAACTCCATTTAGAGGATTTGCTTCCTATGCTCACTCATAGCGTCTTTCTAATACACACATCAACTTTTATACTACTCCACTCGCAGTTTGGAATGGTCTGCAATATCTTCGTTGCAGATCCTTTTAATTCAACGAGCAATTCAGCTTCTTTATCTTCAGCGTTTCTATTATTTGTAGATGCCGTCTTTTCAAGTTAAAGCATTAAGATATGAAATGGAACTGTGCCATCATAGGATGGGGGTTTTATTTTGGTAGAGGCTGTTGATATATGTAATTCGCCGCTACACTTAGCTCGCGGATACGATCTTCTAATTCATCCACTTCAGTTTTACGACGGTGTTGTCGACTACCACGGAATTATGTTATTTTAAATAAACACTAGTTGAGTTCCGCTCTAAAACTGTTATATTAAAATTCATTTCTCTTATTTATAACCTACTATTACTATCGCCGCTACTGCCATTGACGCTGCTTTTCTAAGTTTCTGCTGACGCCTAAGCTTATGTAAGGCATTGCGTTACATCCGCCGGTCACACGGTCGGTGGCTTCTGCAAGGTGTTGAATTGCGGCTGTCGGTCATTCAGAAATCCAAACTGCATAGGATGCAATTTTGGCAGTTCAAGAGACTGACTTAGTTAACTATTGTTAACTACTCCCTCTTCCAAAACATGGGCGTCCTCGGCCATACCCAACCTTTCCAGCACTCGCCGCACAGCCTCCGAAGTTTCATTTCGTCGCCGACGCATCAGTAAATGATTAATCCAATTGTGGTTACGGAGATGATGGCACAGATTACGGCGGTAGCGACTGGTGTAGCAATTGTTCGTATGCGTAGTTCGGAGATGCGTTGCAAATTCTTTTCACTTAACTTGTGAAGGAATGGTAAGCTTAGCAGGGCATGATGATAGGTTGCGTTGAGTCGCGCTGAAGTCGCCAGTTGGGGAAGTCTCTTCGGATAGTCATTGATGTTGACATATTTTGTACCATTGATAAAGGCGGTGCGTTTAAACGTAACAAGGTAAGTGCCGTTCACAAACATTTCAGGGCCATCATCTACGCTAACCTCGACCAGCGCATCATTTACCACCACTATACCGTC